TACTGCAGGAGGCATTCACATCTCTATTTCCTATATCCTGGCTAAAAAGCCCAAACACTGGGCTATCCAGCTCATGCGAGGCTTTTTCTTTTAGCTTAACAGAAGCAACTACCCTGAAATAACCAGTAATCTGTAATAGAAGACACTCCTACAGATATGGGTGCACATGGAAGTAAAGCTAACCAGCAGCAGAAATGCAGATGGTAGCTTGCTTGGTCTCAAAATTTTAAACTCCAGCACACATTGAGAAGTACTTTTGAGAACTTCAGACTATCAAACCTCTTACCACACACCGCATACCTTCCCAAGCAAGCCCTCTCTTTCTTCATCTAACGTTGCATGGTTGAAGAGATAACTCCCAGCTTGGTCCTCCCTTCTACATGTGCAAAGTAAAGAGATTACTTCCCAGCTACCATGTACGATGAGCAACAACTCCACCAAAGCCCTACAAAAAGAATATCTCTAAAAAGCTAGCACAAAGTGATTAAAAAAAAATTATGCTTTCACTTCTGCAGCAACATCAGCCTTTAAGCAAAGCCAGTATACTATGCAGACAGCAGTCTTTATTCATTAATTATGTGTTAAAAACGTGCAGCTACGAGACAAAAAAAAGACTCAGTATAAGCTTCTTCCAGAGATTTTTGCAATCACAAAAAAACCACACCTCTTACATAAATTTCATGACAAAATTCCAGCCAGCTGCTCCTTCTAAAAAAAAAAAAAAAAAACAAAAACAAACCTAACTTAAACACAGTGTTCACTGGCCTACTTCTAATGCAAAATTGTAAGAAAACCGTTATCAAGTGAAAAAGTAAAAAATAAACAATAAACTCCATTTGGCATATCATTAGCAACCTTGAGCAAGAAAATCAAGGTTCAACATTCACCAATTTTGTTGCTGGCAGCAAATGACCAGTTAAAAAGATCTGGTTCAGTCAAAAAAAACCAAACCAAAACTCTCCCTACCAATGACACATCTGGGCAGAGATAACTGAAACACCAATCTTTGCAACTGTAAAGCAAAACCTCGTTTTGCCACCACTTAACTCTTCTCATAACCTCAAAGTTCCTGGCAAACCCATCTCTCAGAGAATTAAAAAAAAAAAAAAAATCTAACTTAAGGCTTCTGCCATTAAGTCAAACAGCAAGTGCTGCGCTGGCCTGTGGCAGTGTTACAGCTGTCCTAGCTGTAGGCCAACAAAATGACCAAGTGTAGCCATTTAAAAATGCAAGCCCAAATTTGTATTTTATCAGTACCATGAACGTAACGCAGGCATTATGTACTAGAGCTGCTGCTTTTTAACTAAAAGCTCAGCAGCCACCTGCTAAAGTCAAGAATGTTCCAGGTCAGTTAAAAGCCACTAAAATTTTAGGCAAAGGCTCAGTGCAATAGCACAAGTTCTGCACTAGTTACAGCTGTTACTGTTTTTGATGCTGCCTAGGATTCAGACTTATTTGTAGCACTTGATATGACACAAGTGTAATTGCTCCAAAACCCAACAGATTTTATCCTCACCCTGCTGGAGAACAGAAAGCACTCTTCCTATGGGGCAAGTCCAGCTCTGACTACTACTGTCAATACTCATTTTTCCTACGACAGTCCCAACTTTTAGGCTGTGGAGTAAGAACCACACTTCTCAGCGATGACCTTTCTCCACCAGATAGACCGTGCCCACAGCACAGCCCCTACATAACTCTGCAAGGCATTCAAAGCTAAACATCTGTCACCACTACAGCACATCTGTTTGAAAGGCCACCAAAGCTATACACTAGCCATGCTTCTCTATGGTTTGACTCATTAGTCGTAACTGCATAGTAATTATGTATTTCAGAATTACACTCCTCAAAAGTCCTCCTCAATGAGACCCAACGTGCTCTCATTTGCAACACATCCTCGTGTTCAGCATATCTGAGATTATGTCGAAGTGCAGTTCATGCACCACATTCAGAAAAGAGGTATTTTTTAATTTGGAAGAAGAGATTGCCACCTCTAGTCGTCGAGAAACCTTGCTGCATCATATGGCAACACAGCACAAACTCTGCCTTACTGAAGATAAAGGACAGGCAGCACAAACTCTGCCTTACTGAAAATCAGGACAGAGGACACCAGCTTCATCTCTCCTGCCGCGAAGACTGAAGCAACCCAAGTGACAGACCTGCTATGATATTTGTAAATCAAGAGCTGTTACTAAAAAAAAAAATAAAAAATATTTTTAAAAAGTACTCTAGACATGAGTCACGACAGGGCACACACATTCGCTATGCCAGAAAAACCAACACAACCAAAGGTAAGCAGCAGACCCGCGTTGCTCCAGAGCAGGCAGGAGCTCCCCAGGCCGGGGGTAGGACAGCACCTCCACGACAACGGGGGTGACAGCAGGCAAGCCAGCAGGCAGCTTGGCCGACTGCAACCGCCAAGGAGCGCTATCGTTAATCCTCGCCACCACGGAGCTCCCGTTAATCTGCCCGGCTGCCGGGCCCCGGCTCGGCGGCCGTCCTGACAAAAGCAGGCCGAGGCGGCACGGTGGCGGGGGAAGGCGCGGCGGCCCGGGCGAACCCCGGCAGCAACCGCCGGCCTCCCGGCGAAGCGGCACCGGGAAGCGCGTTAGGTAACCACCGCGCAGGTCTGATGCAATAGCTGTACGTGCAGCGCCCGGTGCCGTGCACCGTCCCCGGCGGGAGGATACAGGTCAGATCCAGGTCGAAGCCATCCTCCTGGTATCGCCTTTTGTTCCTGCTGACGATCTCTTTGATGATGGCGGTCATGTCTGGCAGCCGGGGGCCGCTCCGGGACTGCGTGCAGGGGCCGAGCGGCGGCGGGGCGCGGGACCGGGAGGCGGCGGTGGGCCGGCGGCCGCCGCGCGGCCCCGGGCGTGGGGCCTGCTGCGCCGGCGGCTCAGCCCCAGGCGGGCCCGCCTCCCTCCGCGGCGGCGGCTCCCGGCGGCTGCCCCCTCCTCCTCCTCCTCCTGCCGCCGCTGCGCCGAGCGGGGCGGGAGCAGCAGCGGCGGCGGCGGCGGGCGAGCAGAGAAGGTCCGGAGCCGGGCCAAGTCCCTGAGAGTGCCGCCGCCGCCGCCGTCTTTGAGGCGAGCGAGGCGGAGGCGGAGAGAGCAGCTCTCCGGCGCTCCGGGCCCCAGCAATGGTGACAGCGGCGCGGGGCGCCCCCCCGGCCCGGCCCCGCTCCGCCCCGCTCCGCTCCCCGCCTGGGGCGGCGGTAGCGGCTGCGGGCCCGGAGCCGCGCGGTGGGGCCGCGCCGCCGGGTGGGCGCTCCGCGGCGGGCCGGCGGCAGCAGCGGCGGCTCCTCAGGGCGTGCGGGCCAGCAGCGCGGCCTGGCTCATCCCCCCGGCCTGCTCCGCGCCCAGCAGCGCCGCGCCAGCGTTAGACTCCCATCATGGCTGCAGCTTCCGAGAGGAGAGGCCGCCCCGCCCCCTCTGCCCCCTCTGCCGCCTCCGCCGTATAGAGAAAGTAGTCCCTCACGAACCGGCCAACCGTCACCTTACCCCGTCACCTTTCTGCCTCCTTCGGTGCCACCCACGGCCCCTCCCGCCCCTCACCTCGCCGCACCCCGTGCTCCTTCTTTCCTGCGGGAATGGGGGGCCAGTGGGCGGAGGGATACGGCAGCCGGGAGGAGAAGCCCCGGTCACCGCGCCAAGCGGTAGTGCTGCGACAAGTCACGTGGATGGTGAGCTGCGCTGCGCTTCGCGGCGGCCCCTCCCCCCGCGGGCGGAAGTGGCCGGGTAGGGCTGTGAGGTGAGGTGTGGAGCGGAGCGGGAGCGCGCTTGGCCCCGCCTCCGCTCTCTGCCGACACCAGCTCCGCCCGCGGGAGCTGCGCCGCTTCCTGCTCTTTGCGCTCCCGTGGCCTACCGGCGTTCGGGGCCTGCGGCGGGCGAGAGGACGGGGGTTTCTCCCTTCCTACCCTTTCCCCAGTCAGGTGGCCCTGTAAGGCGGGTAGGTGCCACGGCGGCTGCCCCCGCCCTGTGAGGTGCCCAGGCCGGGTGTAGCTGACTTACATAACTGGCTCCTGGAAAGCGGAATGGACACCGCGCGACCCTGAGGCCCGCGGGGAGATGGGGAGGGGAAGGTTTGCCCATCGCCAGGGGCCTCGTTCTCTCTCCCCGCCCCCGGGCTGCCGTTGTGGGGCTCAGCGTAAAGCTGAGCGACCTCGGCTGGCGCGTAGCCGTTGCCCTCTCTCCGATCGTGAGCACCTACTGCCCCCTGCAGTCGCCCAGGCCCTGGGGCAGGAAGAGGGCCCGGAGAGGGCCGCCTGCTGTTCTCGCTGCCTGCGCTTTCTGCCGGCATTCGGGCCCGGGGGTAGGTAGATGAAGTGCCCCACTGGATCACAGCGGCTGGCTCACCGGTTGTGGTCATGCTGTTTTCATGGAGCTTTCTGTCCCCCCTTTTAGCCCCATAAGTGACAGTTACCCAGATAGGAAAAAGCACTGTTTCTCAAAATCAACCTTTAAATTCCTTCAGAACTTTAGCAAATCAATCCCGTTGTACAGAGTTCTTTGCACTCTATGCAGAAAACTTCTTTAAGCCTTTGGACATTGCTGGTGTTAATGATTTGCAGGAAAAAGACCATCAGGTAGCCTGTGGCAGCCTGAGCTGACTACGAACACTGGCTGCAGTCTCAGTTGCCAGTTTCCGTCTCTCTCATTTGGTACAACAGATTGTGAGGGTTGTGATTGTTTTCCTTTTGTGTGCAGACAGGTGAAATGTTAGCTTATGGAGGTAACACAAAGAAATACTTTAAGGCAGTTTGATATGTGTGACTTCGTAAAGCATCAGGAATGAAATCTGCCCCAACTGCTAAGGGATCAGGAAAGAGCTAGCTAGACATTACATTTGAAGAAACAGGGTTACTAGGCAAATACAATTATAAATTTGCCTTCCTCAAAAAAGTATCAATGAAAAATCTTCATGTCTTTTTCCTATTGGACAGCAAGAAATGTGAGGTCAAAGATAACATACCTTTGAAAGAAGCCATTTGTTATATGGAGGGATGCTGGGCATCTCCAAAAATTTGCAGGGAACAAAAACAAAAGCTAAATTAAACCATTTCTTATACTCCTAGGAAAGAGACATAATGGAAAGGACCATCTGTCCTTTTTCTCTGTGAAAGTTAGATGATGTAACCAGGCTGGTATCTCCCAAAATAACAGATTCTGGGTTTAATTCATAAGTCCACCTCAAATGTTTTTGAGGCTGGCAGTGAAAGACACCTTGCTGAAGACACTTTTTAACTTCCTAGACCCACTGGACCAAAATGAAGGCGTCCCTTGCAGGAATATGAGTAGGGTATCTCCCATGGTTTGCTTAGTGATTGCATTACCCAGAGAATGGCTATCAAATACGTTTGAGCAGGGCAACCTGAAGAAAAATAGTGCTTACATACTGGTTGGATGCTGTAGCAAGTTGGTTAATAAGCAGGTCTGGAAGTAAGAAAGTTTGGATGAAACATAGCTCTTTACGTGTATGAGAAGATATATTAAATACAAATTTATGCATATATAAATTAGGCAATGCTTTACTAAACTTTTCCTTTCTGAGGAACAGCAAAACAGAATTCAGAAGTGCAAGATAAGTTTGGTGTCCAATCTTTAAGCAGCTTTTAAGAGAGGTGCTGAAGACCGACTGCAGATGGCTGGAGCAGGAAGAGGAATGGGAGGGTGAAATGCTACTCTTTGCCTGTAAAGGCTCAAAATAAACTGAAGCATAAGGTGGAGGGATTTCCTGGGTTGCTGCAGCCATTCAGCCTTTGCAAATGATATATATATATCCTTTTATAAATGTATCAAGTTTCATCTTAAGCTCTTTTGCCACCATTATTCCCACTGGGAAGCTGTTCCCAGAACCTTCTTCTGATTTTCTTGCTAAATATATATTTATGACTGGTTTAAATCCACGTATTCTTGTGCCAGCATTGGCCTTAAATAGCTCCCACTCCATAGCATTTATCCTTTTTCCTCTTTGCGCACTTACAGGCAAAAATGTCCCCCTTAGGAGTTGTTTGACTATGCTAAGCTAGATGAGCTCCCCTAACTTTGCTCTCTCCCTCATCTCAGCAATTACTTTCTGCTCCAGTTTCATTATTATTTATTTATCTTCAACAGAGATGACTAGAATGGCATGCAGTGTTCTGGAGGGTATCTTGCCAGCACCAAGGACAATTTTATTAATCCCTTCCAAACTCTGCTAGGAACATTGCTCCCAAGGCCTCTCAGTGTCTTGTTTTTGTGATTACATTGGCAGGTCATAGTTATTTTGGGATCAACTTGTGTGTGTGCAGTAAGATTGTACTGTTCCTTTCCTAAACTTCAAATGTATAGAATGAACCCATTAAACCTACTTTTGGGTCCTGGACTTGGAGGTTATCCATAGACAAATAAAGATATAGCTAGCAAATCAAGACCATCTTTGAAAACATTTCTGAAAGTCCTCAAGTCCTAAGACTGCCCTCCTCTTTCTACATACACATTACTAGGAAGTTGCTATGGCTGAATTGACAGTCCTTTTGGTAGATTCCAAATTCCAAGTCAGACCAAGGCTAAAAAGCATTCTGAGCAGTAGATAGCTATCAGTGACCATTGTGTCAGCAAGGCCTGGGACAGATACTCCATCACAACATAGAGTGATGATCTTCGTAACAGCACCCACTGGTGAATCTCATGATCCAACCTGTAGGACTTTGCCAGCAACTGGTAAGACAGAGAAAGAGAAAATAATTATGTCACTGTTAATATTTGTGCTGTGCCTCCATCTTCAACTCTGTGTACAGTTGATGGCCTACTTAAAAAAAGTTAGCTAGAGGTCTATAAAATCTTAAGTTACTGAAGAAGTTTAAGCCACTGTCCATCATACTTGAAAAATCACGGCAGTCAGGTGAGGATCCCAACGACTGGAAAAAGGGAAATATAACCCGCATTTTCAAGAAGGGGAAAATGGATGACCCAGGGAACTGCAGACCAGTCAGTCTCACCTCTGTGCCTGGCAAAATCTTGGAGCAGATTCTCCTGGATGGCATGCTAAGGCACATGAAAAACAACAAGGTGCTTGGTGACAGCCAGCATGGCTTCACTAAGGGGAAATCCTGCCTGACCAATTTGGTGGCCTTCTATGATGGGGCTATGGAACTGATGGACAGGGGTAGAGCTGTTGATCTCATCTACCTGGACTTGTGCAAAGCGTTCGACACTGTCCTTTACAACACCCTTGTCTCTAAATTTTAGGGACATCAATTTGGTGGATGGACCACTCAGTGGATAAAGAACTGGCTGGATGGCCACACACAGAGTTGTGGTCAATGTCTCAATGTCCAGCTGGAGACCAGTAATGAGTGGTGTCCCTCAGGGATCGGTGTTGTGACCGGTCTTGTTCAACATCTTTGTTGCTGACATGGACAGTGGGATTGAGTGCGCCCTCAGCAAGTTTGCCGATGACACCAAGCTGTGTGGTTCGGTTGATACGCTGGAGGGAAGGAATGCCATCCAGAGGGACCTTGACACACTTGTGAGGTGGGCTGATGCCAACCTCATGAAGTTTAACCATGCTACACCTGGGTCGGAGCAATCCCAGGCACAGCTACAGGTTGGGCAGAGAAGAGATTCAGAGCAGCCGTGCAGAGAAGGACTTGGGGGTGTTGGTTGATGAGAAAATGAACATGAGCCAGCTTCAGTGTGCGCTCGCAGCCCAGAAAGCCAGCTGTATCCTGGGCTGCATCAAAAGGAGTGTGGCCTGCAGGTCGAAGGAGGTGATCCTGCCCCTCTACTCTGCTCTTGTGAGACCTCACTTGGAGTATTGTGTGCAGTTCTGGTGTCCTCAACATAAAAAGGATATGGAACTGTTGGAACAAGTCCAGAGGAGGGCCACGAGGATGATCAGGGGGGTGGAGCACCTCCTGTATGAAGACAGGCTGAGAAAGTTGGGGCTGTTTAGCCTGGAGAAGAGAAGGCTGCGTGGAGACCTCAGAGCAGCCTTCCAGTATCTGAAGGGGGCCTACAAGGATGCTGGGGAGGGACTCTTCATTAGGGACTGTAGTGATAGGACAAGGAGTAACTGGTTAAAACTTAAACAGGGGAAGTTTAGATTTGATATAAGAAGGAAGTTCTTTACTGTAAGGGTGGTGAGTCACTGGAATGGGTTGCGCAGGGAAGTTGTGAATTCTCCATCCCTGGTGGTGTTCAAGGCCAGGCTGGACAGAGCCTTGGGTGACACGGTTTAGTGTGATGTGTCCCTGCCCATGGCAGGGGGGTTGGAACTAGATTATCTTAAGGTCCTTTCCAACCCTAACTATTCTATGATTCTATTACAGGAACTGCTTGCTTTGCCATTTCTTCAATATAAAATGTAGGGGTTCCAGATGAACCAATTGGTGACAGGTTCAAAACAATAAAGTAGATAGTGTCATGGTGTAAAGTTAAATTATGGGACTTGGCTACAAAATTCCACAGATGCCAAAAGTTTTTAAGGACAGAGTAGACAAATTTATGAAAAAAATTGGCTATAAAATATAACACATTCTCTGACTTGGGAAGTCTTCGATCTGTAAGCTGCTGAAACTTGGAAGTCTTCTGGGGACAAACAACTACATGCTTTTGCCAAATTATAAAGTTGTTTCTAGGCTTCCCCATTTCTCCAGTTTATTTGCTACTTTCCCCATCTTTCATTTTGTTCTTTCCGCTTTGCCTTGCTTTCTGTTTCTCTCATTTCATCCCTGTGTTTTCTTCCTTGTGTCTTTCAAATCCCCTTCCTACCTCCAACCACCATAGATCCTTCTGATGTTAACATACCACTCCTTTCCCTTCTTGCTCTTGTTCAAGTCACTGGCAAAGCTCAGGTCATCCTGCACTGACTGGAGAATTAAGTTCACCAAAAACATGTTTCATAGCAAAGAACCCAGCAGTAAAATGCAAAACAGTGCATGCACCATGTGGCCTTCATCCTTCCTTCTCTGATGAGTTTTCTAACTACACTAGATCCTTTCTGTGACCTTGTAAACCTGTATTCAAGAGCTACAATCTCCTTGAGTCCAGCCAAGTCATCCATACATTCGATTTGAAATTTTTCAGTTTGGGGGGAAATGTGCAATCTTTTTTTTCAACACCAATTAAAAACCAAACAAACACAAAGCAAAACAAAAGCTGACCAAGAATGTTCTCTTTTTCCACAGATGCAAAACCAAATTAGATAAAAAATTATGCCGAATGAGTTTCAACTTTTGTTACAACTTTCTAGATCTGTCCGTAAGAAGGAAGCAAAGCAACATCTCACTGTGGCCAGTTCTGTGCGAACAGGGAAAGTGGTGCAAGAGGAATGGAGACTTCATGGAGACCTCTGTAGGATCAGCTTTCAGAAAGAGTTAAGTCCTATGTCGAGCCTTCAGCAGTGTAAAGGTTCTGAGACTCTGTACTTAGGAAAGCAGATGAATTTGGCATTTCTCAGCATTTTTAAGAAATATTTGTTCAAGAAATTGTAATCTCTCAATATCTTGAGAAATTGGGACCCAGTCCAGTTTCCGCATTCTGCATCAACCTCACCTTCAAGACCCTGGTTGGCTTCTGAAAAATCTCTCAAATTTTTTAAAGTATTTTTCAGCAGAGGATTTATTTCAAAGGTTACCGCCACAGCTGTCAAATAGCAGTGACAAAATGTAGTTTTGAGCTTTTATTACTTGTGTGTGCATTTGCATTTCTCCTTAATTGCAGCAAAACAGATGTCACTTTTTTTCAGAGTGAGAAAAAACAGAAGGGTCCTAAATATTTTCCTACAGTAATGGTGATTTGAACATGATATCATTTTCCTAGCATATGAAATGCAGACAGTGAGATGATTGATAATCCTTTTTTTATTCAATAGTGGTGATTGCAAAAATGAGTATAAGCCTCAAATTAATAGCAAAGGCTGTCAGTATCACTGGTTATATCCAGTTAATTTTTAAAACATTGAAGGGAAATTGTTCACTTATTCTATGTAGATTGAAAAAAAAATAATCTGTAGAAGGTTATAATCTTATTTACCATCAAAGACTGGAGGAGGAGCAGTAAAGGAAGGTCTTGTGTAAATCAATACGGACATTGATACATTTGTTTTCTGATTAAATAGACTTTTCATTTGGAAGAGCTATAGTGCACAAAACAAAAGAGAAATACTGATGAAAGTAAAGTTGTTTCAAAACTTTATTATTTGGGGGGGATATGGTGTATATTAATCTAATAAATGGAACCAAACCAAAACTGCTGGAATGGTACTTTGGTAAAATCACAGTCACTTTAAGAATGTGTGTTTTTGCATTTGGGTTTAATGGTGGAAACACTATGCACCACCGATGTGCTGATGCATGGATACTCATGGGGAGGGTAGATGGCATCCCACCTGGATCACTGGAGGCCATGCATGGGGTTTGGCATTAGCCAGATCAGCTGAAGGAAGGAAATTAGGTGTCACGCTCTCTACCTGAGGTGGGGCTGGTGGAGCAGATTCTGTGGAGAAAACACAGAGCAGAAGCAGCAGATCTCTGCAGGTTTTTGTCTGTCATAGCCACCAATACTTTCTGTAGACTCCCTGCTGAGTGAAAGATCTGCATTTTTGTACAAGGGATGACGTTTAAAAATGACCCGTAATAAAATTACTGTTGTAAAAAAAAGCTAACTGCTCTTGACAAAGAAATTATGATCCCCACTGAGCAGGCCGAATTTTGTTAGGAAGCCCCTGGACAATGTATGAATTACAGGTAAGAATAAAACTTGGCGATAAAGCTTGACCCCGGGGCAAAGCTAGGTCTGAAAGGCATTCAAACAAGAGCTGAAGGGTTGAAGACAAGTTGCTAAAACCTTGGATTAATTATAGTTATTACAGAGATCTCCTTATTTTGACCTTTTCCTAGACATTTTTCTGTTCCTATATATAGAGAGTGAAATTACTGTTTTCATTAAAAGTTGAAATAGGGAAACTATCCCCTCATATCTCTTAGTGTGGTGAAATAAGATTAATTCTTAGATTTTGATGATTTCCTTCTGGCAGATCCCTGTAGCATCCCAAATCTGCCAAGTAATGCATTTTCCAAACTTGAGCTATTATTCTACGTCGCCGCTTCTGTGAGGGGACAGAGCGTGGTTATCAGGAGGCAGGTGACGGGGCATGCTTGAACTCCTGCAGGGCCAGGCCCTCTACCGGCGGAGAGCGGCCTGGAGAGCCGGGAGGCTGAGCTGAACTAGGCTGGGCTGGGCCGGGCTATGCTATGTCGGCGGGCGGAACCTTCGTGCGGGGCGGCGGGAGTCGACCGGAGGGGAGAAGCGAGGGACGCGCCGCGGCTGAGGCAGGCCCCGTGCTGCTACCGCCGTTGCCTTCGTCCGTCCGTGCGGCTGCGGCCGCGCCACGACCCGCTGGCTGCGTGTCTGAGAAGCCAGCCCGAGGGGTGAGTGACCCAGCGGGAGAGCGACCCGCCGCCGCTTCCCGCCGCCGTGCCGGCACCTGTCGGGCGGCGGGAAGGTCACAGGCGGCAGGTCCGGCCCGGCTCTCACCGGTGCCGCCTTCGCCTCTCCGCGCCACGCCGCATGGCAGGGCCCCGGACGGCCGCCACCGCATCCTCGGCAGGGCTTGGGACTCCTCGAGGCCTGCTTCTGCTCTCGCTCAGGCCCACCGGACGGGCCGGGAGGCCAGGCGGGGCGGCGCTGCCCCTTCCGTCCTGTCAGCTTCGGCCCCGGCGGTGAGGTGGTCGGTCTTGGTGGCCTGGCCGGGAACGGGCCCCTTTCCTGAGCTGCTCCGCCGGTCGGTGTGCTGCGTGGCGGTAAAGCCGAGCCCTGGAAAGGGAAGCGGTCGCCCTCGCCTGAGGGCCTGGGGGAGAAGCAAGGGTTTCCTACAAGGGACTGAAGTTTTCCCCTCGCCGTGTTGTGGGAGCAGAACAGAAACCAGCAGCGCTTCCCCTTTTGGTTTCTTTTTTGTATTTGAAACGTTGGCATGCAGATAGCAAGCTAAAGGAAAAGGCGGTGGCAGCCTTACGGACCTAGAATTTGCTGTGCAATTAACTGTCCTCGTTATTCCAGCAATTTGTGTAGAAAGTAAATGCTGAAATTCATGCGGGATAAGCAGAACTTCGTTTATGCTGAAATTTCCCTCCTGTTAAAGCTTTCTCTTACAAGGTGTATTCAGGGCAAGGATTGCATAAGAAGTGGGTTGTTTTATCTTTGGGCTTGGGGCTTTTTTGTTTGTTTTTTTTTTCTCGTTCAGTGAATATATATAGCCCTTTTATTTTAGTAAACCAGACTTAAGAGAACATGCAGAATATGCTAGTTCAGTATTGCTTGCTTAGATGCCTAAGCAGGCAAATTTTATTTGATTTCCAAGCAAGTATGCACAGCAACAGTCTTGATTTTTTTTCAGTCTCCTAACAGAGAATGAATAGTTTAAAAAAATGAAACTGTTTTTTAGTGATCTGCACTGGAATATTTTTGTCTTTGTGTTGCAATGCTTCTCCCGTCTGCCCAGTCCTTGTAAACTGAATCTATGGTATGGCATTGCCTTGAGTTGAATACAGGGTCGACATAAAGCAACCGCTAGCCAAGTGAGGGGGATTCAAGGATATCTTGGCTGTAGGTAGTCTAGCTTTTCCCTGGCTGACAGCTTAGTTTGGAGACGAGCCAAGGAGCATTAGAAGCTGCCAGAGGAGTTGCCGCTGATTTTGCCCTTGCAGCAGGAAAATAGGGCGGTGAACAAGGGGAGCTTTGGGGATTCTCAAGTGGAAACCCCACCAGCTGAGGAGAGAGTGGATTGAGGAGAGAGGACCTCAATTTTATAAGTAATTTTTCAGTGTTTTAGGAAGAGTTTTTTTCCTCTTTACAGCATGCTTCTATAACTTGAAGGTGCTATACTTTCTGGGTTTGTCTCTTACAGCAGCCAGCCTTTTTCCTTGGTAGCTGTGTGCCACATCCAACATCTTCAGTTTTCCAGGAGTATTAATAACTCAAAATATATTCTGCTAGGTGCAGCAGACTTCAGCTCTTAACCTTATTTTATTTAAATACAAGTTGTTGGTCACTTCTTAATCTGGCCATTGGGTGCCTTTCCTTTAAACTTCTTAGGGGAAAGAACTCCCTGTTTAAATAATGCAGTTATCTTTGTCTCCATGACTTAGCATTCTTGGGTCAATAACAGTCACAAAATGTCAGTCTTAATGGGAATGTAAACTTGGCACTGATATAATCTTTATTAGTTTATCAGGGTTTTGTAAAGCTGAAAGGAAAGCAGATTTCTTGAAGAAAGAGTGTAAAAAGAACCTTTTTGCGTATAGTCAGTCGAGAAGTAAGGCCTCAGATTGTAGCTGCCTCTGAATTCTTCCCTGCTTACTGAAACTGGAAATGAAATCATCATTATACTCAGAACTCTGTGCTTTAGTCTTAAGCAATTTTGTATGTTGGGATGGTACTACTGTTAAGATACTTCATTATAACTATGCCCACTCTGTGTGTGGGGGAAAGTTTTTATAGAATGGTGTTTAGCTTTAAATTTGCTTTCTTTCTGTCCCTCCCTGCGCTTTTTTACACTTAGTGTTGAGAAGCAAAATGGTCCATGCTGAAGCATTTTCACGTCCCCTGAGTCGGAATGAAGTGGTTGGATTAATTTTTCGTTTAACCATTTTTGGTGCTGTAACGTATTTTACCATTAAGTGGATGGTTGATGCCATTGATCCAACCAGAAAGCAAAAAGTAGAAGCTCAGAAACAGGTAGGATTTTATTCATAAATATTTCTGTGAAATGTGGTCTTGTTCATTACCATTCATAGAGAGAAATGTGCAAACTGAAATAAGTAGCAAAATAATCAAAGTCTGGAATTATCCTAGTAAACCTCAGCACCTAGGCTGTAGTGTTTTCAGTACTTATATTTCATGACAAATTTTCTAACTTGAGATGGTGGAAAAACTGTTGAACTGGAGTATGATGTTGTCTCTTTAATTATCTGCAAGTGTGTGGTCCCAGAGTTGTTTCTGCTTCTGGCAACTTTGCTAAGCAGCAGTTGAGTTAAATAATGCTCTCATCAGTCTTTTGGTTGCTTTTTAAAACCTTGAGCAGAAATAACTTGGTTCTCTGCTGCTTTTTGGCAACTTAATGGCAAAGGCAAGGACTGTAGTTACTCATGACAAAGAGGAACACTGCTATCCAAATGCCTTTTTAAGTATAGCTTGCACTTTAGCCCTCTCCCTCTGCTCTGCCCCCACCTCCAGTAGCAGTCAAAATGCTCTGGAAAGGGAAGAAGTGAAAAGTCTAATTTCTTACATTGAGCTAGAATGATTTATGGGGTTTAATGCTCTGGAAAAAGATTTAGGTGCAGAACCAAAAGTTAAATGTTTCGTTTGGAAAGTATTGAATGAAGTGTGGCAACTGGTTTTTGTTTTCTGGCTGACCCAGATTTCATAGATTCAAGCAGCAGTTTTGAGCAACCTAATTCTGTTTAGGGTGTTTTTTTTCTTTTTTAATGAAAACATGAGTTAAAAAATTAGGCCTACTTCACAATCTGTGCTAGTGCCAGTTATTATATAAGAGGTTGCAATATCCCAAAAGCATGTCAGACTTAACCGCAACTTAGAGTATAAAGAGAAACTGAATTGTGAAAGCATGTTGACACAACAAATGACTTTTCGTTTAAAACTGGGAAAAAGAAATCATTGAATACATATTTAAAAAAAAAAAAATACTGGCTTCTGTGAATTTTCTTTTTTACTTAAAAACCCACTAATCTCTCCCTGATACAATGCCATGGAGGTTGGGGGGCATGCTTTTCATAATAACATAAGTGTATCTTCCATTAAAATGTGTGTGTATTATTTGCAGAGTTCTGAATGAAGATACACATGTGAAAGAACTCTAGAGTTCTATTTAATAAGAAGTTTCAAGCTTTTCTTCTGAATCCCTTACAAAGTTTGTAAAGGCTAAGGGGTTTTTTTTAAGTGTAACATGCCTGGGTCAGCTTTGGAAACTCCTGGAGTGAGAGATTATGGAAATTATTTTGTACTAAGGTTACCTGTGTTCTGAACAGCAAGCTCCATGTCTTAATGTTTATTTTAGTTGCTTTTCAGTCTTGGAAGTGGGAGGGCTGGTTTATCACTTATTTGATGAGAACTGAGACTTATGACTTAGTTTCACTCAAGTGACAAGGCAATATAAAGTAGCAGAACCTTCTGCTTCTGAAAGATTTAACCTCTTTTTAGATGTGACTTCCAGAAAAGCTTTTCAGACTTCAAATAGCAGCTCAATTTCTTTCTCTTTCTTGGTTTTTTATTTCCCCCAGGCTGAAAAACTAATGAAGCAAATTGGAGTGAAAAATGTCAAGCTTAGTGAATACGAAATGAGTATTGCTGCACATCTCGTAGACCCACTTAGCATGCATGTAAGAAATTGTTTTTGCTGTTACTCTGCTGAACACACTTCAGACAGGGAAGACGCTGATTCCGACTTTGGATTACATGATTTGTCACATGTGTATTTTTGGAAATGCGCAGAAAATTTCTGTAATTTAGAATTAAAATTGCATCATTAAGAACAGAAGGGTTTTTAATCACTTGTCTTTTTTATTTCTGAGGCCTTGTACTACTTTTAAGCTTGTGGGTTGTTTTTTTTTGTTGGCAGGGACTGTGATGACCATTTCTAAAACTTTGTCTGTATTAGGTAACCTGGAGTGACATTGCTGGCTTAGATGATGTTATTACAGATTTGAAAGACACTGTCATTTTGCCCATCAAGAAGAAATATCTGTTTGAGAATTCCAGGCTCTTACAGCCACCAAAAGGTAGGAAAGAAATGCTATGGATCTGTATGTTGGTGTTTTTGGTGTTTTAAAGAAAAAAAAAAAAAGTTACAGTAATCGAGAAAGGTGGGAGGAAGTGGGTTGCCAGTCCAAAGTGCAATCATTATGACTGATGCCAAGGGAAAACACGCAAGTTCTTCCTCTTCTCTTGCCATGAAATCAAGTTCTAGTGTGTAAGTTTCATTTTAATAACGAAGGGATGATTGCTTTTCAGTTTTTTATGTTACTTTTTGGTGCACTAATCTATGTAGCCTGCATTTTCAACTGCCTAAATTGTTGATATTTTTCTTATACCCCATCTTGTCCTTTTGGAGGTGAGCTATAACTCTGTACAGCTGTACACTTGGTTAATATTTCTGTGGTGTCATAAAGTCCTAAGTCACAAACATTAGACATCACTATAAGCTAATCTTGCAGACATCTCTCTCTTCTGGCCGTAGAAATTCCAGTCATTCAAAAAGACAGAGATCCCATTTTTATTCTGGATATGCCTTGATTTTTCTTTGGAGTTGAGTTGCACAGTACTGAGGTAGTAAGGAAACTGGTGGGTGACAAATTAACTTTCCAACAGTAAAGTAGAAGTTGGATTCACTCTGCTGGAATGCTTACAGCCATATTTGCTCTATGTGACTGCAAACAAGGAGAATTTGACCATGAAATGTTGGACAAAATGGCAAAGTTTGTATTTACTGCTTTAATGCCTGGAATATTGTCTTCTGAAAATTTTCTGAAAACTATTAATTACTGCCTGTATCTATGACCATCATAGTTTTTTTTGTCCTAAGTGATGGAAAATGAAGCAGTTTTATAACTGGTTTAGTTTTTCCAGGCTACTTTCTGCTTATGTCACAAATTGAAACTGTCTGGAAAATTACTTTCATGTCATGATCTAATAAGCTGAAGGAAAAAATTAGTTTTTATTTATCTTTTTAAAGCAGACTTTCCGTACAGGGCAAGTTCCTCGGTTCTCTCAGTGGCTTGCACTGTGTCTTAATGGGAAGTCATTGCTTCAGAGTAATCTGTGGTCATCAGTCACATAAACAGAAAAAAAAAAACCCTAGTAATTCTCTGTGTTTCAGGCCTGTTAGGCTTAATTATGTTTTGTCTTTAAAATCGTTTTCTTTACAGCTATATTAGAAAAACACTACTGTGGATTCTTTCACTATGACAAGTTTAAAAAATATGAGATGTCATTTAATTGAGGGTAATCTGTTTTTCTCCCCTCCCTGCTCTGTGCTAAGTTTCATTAGCCAGGCTGAAGCTGGCTATAAGCAGTGGCTGTTAATGTGACCTTTACAGTCACAGTAATAAAACTATCATCTTTCAGATAGGTAACTCCCTTCAGTTTCACCATATCTGTTTTTAGATATTCTTAACTTTAATTTTATAATACGAATGTCTTTAAATAACTGTATGTGATGGAACACTGCGTAACTTGGTTTCTTATCTTTTAACACTTGGATAAAATACAAGCCTGGACACTATCAGGTCTGCCATACCAAAGCATGTTTTCTGTACAGTAACCAGAGAGCATTAATACTGTTGCTTTTTCAGGAGTACTTCTCTATGGCCCTCCTGGTTGTGGCAAAACACTGATCGCCAAAGCTACAGCAAAAGAAGCAGGTTGTCGATTTATTAATCTCCAGCCTTCAACACTGACAGACAAATGGTATGGAGAGTCTCAAAAACTGGCTGCTGCTGTCTTCTCCCTTGCTATAAAGCTTCAGCCATCCATCATCTTTATTGACGAAATAGGTAAAAATCTTTCTTTCTTCTGTAAGTAACTGTAGCAGAGTGACATTAAACTACAGGTTCAGGTTGATGAGCATATTGATCTACAGCCGTCTTTTCCTTAAAGAGTAATAATGCAACAAGGTTTAATAATATAAAGGGTATTGTAAAGTAATGGTGGCAAATGAGGGAAAAACAACATATTTCTTCTTGTTAGTGGAGGAAAATTGCAAGTAGAACAAGTTGCTGCTTATTTTTGGTTGGGCTAAGGTGGCTGATGAGGAAAGCTTTTCATTTGTCAAGGGAACTACTTATTCAAGAAGCCCATCACCAAATACACTTCAACGCTTCTGTCATGAGGGCACATAATGGAAAAGAAGATACAGGTTTAGGAGAGCTCAGGAATAATAGTGTAATAAGGCTGAAGAAGTAGGAGGGGAAGTTCAGCTAGGAAGACAGCAAAGCTGCCAGTTCAGTGCATTTGTACCTGTAACATGAGTGTTTAAGTCCATGTGAACTTAGTTAAAATTGCTTGTTGTTTTGTAGCACTGTCGCTTCTTAGAATAAGTTGTACAGTTTGCAGAAATAGAGCCTGATAAAGGTTTTACCCTTTCCATAGTTCAGGTTTATGGAAGGGCTATGTACTTAAGATGCTTTTTATATTTTTGTATAGGTGTGGAAAACTTGGTGTTTTTCTGGCTGTTGGGAATTATTTAGGCAACTATTAGCAGAATTAAAGCTCTGCATAACAAAGCGTGTAGCCTGTTTGACATCAGTCCTGCAGCTTGCTGTTCTCCCATGCTTTGGTGTCTTCTAGCTGGCCAGACTCTGCTTCCATCTCTGCATGAAGGTGGAAGTTACACTTTCATGAATTAAGGAAAAGGAAAATTTGGAAAACAAGATTTGGGACAATCTCATATGATAGATAGGTACATACTTACGTAATGTAATTTAAAGATGTGCTTAAAAATGTGGTGAGATTCTCCTGTTTTTATTGTAAGAAGTGTTTGTGATTTGTTGACAATGTTTATTAGAAATATTTACAAGATGGAGAATAGCACAAGTCTGCATGAGAAATTGAACAGTTTCTGTGGCAGGACTGAAAATCCTGCAGTAAGATTGAAAAAGCAGTTTCTATGGCAGGATTGAAAATAAAGAGTTTTACTGAATCATTTAATACAGATTCCTTCTTGCGAAGTCGATCGAGTTCTGACCATGAAGCTACAGCTATGATGAAAGCTCAGTTCATGAGTCTGTGGGATGGACTGGACACAGATTATAACTGCCAAGTAAGTACGAAGGATAACAAGAAAAGTCAGGAGATTCTTCCTTCTCAGACATTGTGCATTGAACCATTTGGGAAGAATAGCAGATTGCATGTAGTAATAATTGCCAAAAGAGTTTCTTTACCTGATAGTGTTAGTGATTACCAGTATATTATGGGAATGAGGTGAGTTATATTACTAGATCGTTTTTTTAATTTAGAAGACTGATTTTGTAGGTATTTTGGTTTTAATTAAGAGGCATTATTTTTGAAAGTGTCTTAAGTCTCAATAATATAAAAGCTGTATGGTTTGAGCTGCCAAATTGGGACCCGCTAAAACTTTAAACTGTTATGAAAAACATTTTATCAACAATATTTTCTTCAGGTGAAGTTAATCTTTGATTTCAGGAAAGGTATTGAAAGATCTGAGTATTCATCCGAGTATGCATCCGAGTTTTTGGAAACAAGCCATTAAAAGCATTAGACAAGCACTAGGCTCTGAAGGTAACCTGAAAGGGTAAAGAAGTTGAGCTTATCAAAAGACAAATTCTGTTAAATGGAGCTATGCTTCCATCTTCTTGTCCTTGTATGCTTCCTCCCATGATCTGGACAGAAGTATTGTGCTTTGGAAAGGAAAAAAATTACAAAAGCTGTTGTTATTGATAAAACAAATAAAAACCATTTATGAAATAAATTACATAAATGTTGCATAGATGAAAGCTTGCTTGGTATGTTTCTGAACTGTCACCTGGAACAGTCTTTCTAAGGCCTTTAGAAAGGATATTTATTCTTCAGTTTTAAAATTTTCAGCCCTTGTAATCTGGTTTTTGGTGCATGGGTTCTGATGCTCTGACGTCCATTAGTTCTTTGTAAAATCTGCTTTTCCTTCTCTCTGAAGGTTGTACTAAAGATTCTTTTGAGTTGATTTTTTTTAAAAACTGATTAGAACACAGTGAACGTATATGCTAAGGAGCTTTCAAGTGAAGTGTTTGCTTACTAGTATTAAGAAGCCTATGGTATGAACACCTAACTGGAAGTTAGCATGATCTGGTTAGCACAGTGTTTGTATTATCTTTTCCCTCAATATACTGAGAACATTTTGGAGCAGGTCACATTGTTCATTCTTTGCAGTAAGACTGTATGTGGTCTTACCATCTCTGAAGTTCAGCATGCAGAGCCTGGACAAGTCACTCTTGTCCTTTCACTTGTATGCCTCTGCAGGGTAGGGAGCCACCAAGTGAAATGCAGTACGAACAATTGGCTGGTGACACTGCAGGCATTGGCTCAGATTGATTTCTGGCGATTTTTTCAGCAGGATGTTTTGTTTCAATACCGTATTTCAGGCTCCTTACTGTGATGTCATTGCAATTCAGGAAGTGTTCTCTAAGTGATAGTTTTGACATTTGCATTGCCTCAGAGTTTGACAGCCAGCTTGCTGGGTTCTTTGGTTGATTACAAATGTTTACTTGGGAGCTTTGGGTTGCTTGTCTGATTCTGGCCAAACAGATTTCTTTTGAATAAGGATTAAATTTGGCATTTGGCATGGTAACAAATTTCCAAATGCTAGGACCAAATTGTAAGTAATTGTTGTCATGGATGTTACTTTGTTCCTCTGTTGATTTCACCTGAAAAGTGTGTTCAGCTTTGGACTAAACCTGCCTAGGATATTCTAGAATCATAAAATACTAGGTTGGAAGGGACCACAAAGATCATCCAGTCCAACCTTTTCTATCTAGACTATATGACCCAGCAACCTGTCCAGCTGAATTTTCAAACATTGAGGAGTCCACCACTTCTGTAGGGAAATAATTCCAGTGGCTGGTTGTTCTCATTGCAAAAAATTTTCCTTGTGTCCAGTTGGAATCTCCTCAGGAGTTACCTGTACCTGTTACCCCTTGTCTTTGCCGTGTGACTCCTTGTAAAAGGAGTCTCCATCTTCTTCGTAGCCAGTCTTTAAATACTGAAACATGGTGTTATGGTTGTATAAGGATACAGTCTCCAGTCTGACAGAAACTTGGGGCACAGTGCCTGGAAAACAGAGCTGTGCTATTTGAAGGGACAGTTCATCTGGCAGCCCTGTACAGCCGCATTTCACATCTGCAGAAGCTGCATACAAAGCTGTTTTTGGGAAAGCTATTCAGCTGTGCTAGCACAGAGGGAGCAACACTTTGGGCCTCGATGCAGACACCAGGGGAGCACAGTATAGGTGCTTCATACAGTGACGCCTTTGTAAGAGGCAGCTCAGCCGTTAGCTGAGCTTGTGTATCGCATGCGAGCAAGCACAAAGCGCTTGCATGTGTAATACTTTCTAGAAGATTCAGATTTCTGGAGCCCTGGCAAAAAACATGCCTTTCGGCTTTCTCTGTGTGTAGCAATTTGCCGCTGTATAATTAAGCCTCTAGGTGGCAGGGTGACTCTGCTCAGGGACCCACCTTGGCCAGGGGCTGCTGGAGCTGCCAGGGCTGCCTGCCAAACAGTGGCCCTAGAGAAAAGAGGCATGTCAGGAAACTGTACTGATGGGAGATTAATTTCCCTGACATTTTTCACTTTTGTGACTGGGTATTTACATTGTACATAACTTAGAATAGCAAATGAAAAAACAAGGCTGATGTGAATAGGAAGTAAATTTGTTCTTAAACTAATAACTGGAATACAGTCAAGTAAATACTTTCTTTGTGTTGAACTTAGCTTGTACATACCTAATACGCTACTGTTAACAGCATGTCATTGCATATAGGCTGTTACTGACTTCTGTGGCCTTTTCTTTTTTTTTTTTAATGCTTTAAAAAGAAAGAAACAACATTTTAGTGCATGTGAAAGCTGCCAGGTTGGTTGTCCTGGTGAACTGATTGCCTCTCTTTTTTTCAGCACAGCACAAAAATGCCACATTTTTTAAACCTTATCAGAGCATCTCCTTTCAAGTTCCTTCCAGACCCACAGGAACTAGAGTCATTGCCAAGACTTACAAGCAGATGTTTTGGGTTATTGCTTAGAGTTTGAACTTTCAAATTGGTCTCGGAAGGATTCAGATTAATGTAAAAATCTCCACCCAGATGATACTCTGTGGTACCAATGTTCTCTCAAGCTGACTGTTTAATCCAGTTGCTGAAATCTGTACCAAGAAGCCTTATGTAACTTCTTTAAATGTTGATGTTCTTGATAAAGTGTGGAAGAGTCACACGTTCGGTTTTGAAACTCCAATATGGCAATGCTTTCAAAAGCTGGTTTCAGGCTGACTATTTTTTTCCTGTTGGTGTGTACAGGTAATAGTGATGGGAGCCACCAACCGTCCTCAGGATCTTGACTCTGCAATCATGAGAAGAATGCCGACCCGGTTTCACATCAACCAACCTGTAAGTCATGCCGTGTTTGCCTGAACAGTGTGCCTGGTGGCTGAGCTACAGGAAGAAGTCCTGGGTTTTGTTGTTGTGTTATCTTGGTGGTGGTGGGTTTTGTTTCTTTCCTTGGTGTTTTTTGTTCGGTATTTTTTTGTTGCTGGGGTTTTGGGGTTGGTTTTGTTTGCTTTTGTTTGGTTGGGTTTTTTTTTCTCTTTCGAAGAAATACTGTATTCTTTTGATCTGGTTTTAGTTTTTTAGAAGCATATATATAACTTGTCTTTTTAAAGGTGAGGTTTCTCACAGAACTCTTGATTATTTAGGGGTTTTATCTGAAGCAATGCCATGTACTTTTGAGAGCTTCCCACCCATTTTCTTCATCTGTAAGAATGGAGTGGCTTAGGTGCTGCACTTGGGAAAGAGCTTAGTTTTAATTTGAAAAGCAGAGAAGTGACTGCACACACTTGTTTATGGGGGTGAGTGGCACCCAGGCCGGATAGTGTCATGAAGGAGGAGGTACATGTTAACTCCTATTTATACCTTCTGGATATACAATACTTAGTTCTGAAGAAGAGAAAAGGAAACAAATTCCGCATATCAAAGTCTTCATCCCATGGAAGCCTTTCCAGTCAGGCAATCTGGAAAACTGGTTTAATTGTGCTTATGAATTATGCCAAATAGGTAGTGATTAAGTAAGCTATCAGTTAGGCCAGCCATCACAAGGTTACCCTTACTGTCAATTCTGCTATTGCCATCCTTTTCAAGGAATTTTAATCTCCTTGCAACAGTTAGCAATATCACAAGACATTTTTGTATCAGTGTTATAAAAAGCTCAGTCATCTCTGTCGGTATTCCCTTCTGGCTACAGAAATAACCTTCATTATTCATTTTTTGGAGAAAGAGACAAAATTGGAGGAGTAAAACTCTTACTGATTGTGCAAGAAAGTAGTCATGTTGCCAATTCCATCTTGTTTGAACTGGCTTTCACTCCTTGTGGGCAGATACTTTCTGAAACAAAGCATTTATAGTCTTGTAACTCCTTCTCTGTGATGGCTGCTCATAGGTTTTCATATACCTTACTCATCTTCAAGTTTTCCTTGAATTAGTAAAGGACAAGAATGTATGTTTTAGTACTGTGTCATGTCTTTCTGTCAAGCACTGTTGTTAGCAGGATGACTTATCTGCAGTTAACAGTGCTTCAGGATGCTACAGGGGTTGGCTCCCTCTCCCAGGATTAGAATTTAAACAGGAAGTATAATGTAGGGCACAGGCATGTAATTTTCTATACCCCGCTACAGCCATATTATGAACGTACTGTTTGTCTCTTGTTCTTGTCTATGGTAATTTGTGATACAACTAAGATTGGTTACAACTGTTTTATTGAGGGCCAAGATAATTTATATGCTGTGAATTTGAAGTGTGCAAAAGTAGTATCGCTGCAGAGTAGCCTAAAGCCTTGCAGATCTTATAACTAAGTTTGAGATGAAAAGGCCCAGAACTACTCGTAAGAAGTTACCTGCAAGGCAGAGGGAAATAGAAGAAGTATTTTTTGAGGTAGAATGTCAACTGTTCAGCTGCTAAAGTAGCTATGGTGTAGTTTTTTCCCCTTTTTTAACAATGAGTGTGAATTTAAGACAAGTGTGGTTTGGGGAAACACAAAACCCAGTCTCTTCGCTGCCTGTTGCTAGCAAGGATATACTTGGGACATAGCTGTTTCTTTCAGTAACCTCATAACCTCATTACAGTATGTGTTTATATTGAATTATATTAAATTTATTGAATATATTATTTATTGAATATATATTGAATATATATATTATTTATTGAATATATTATATTAAATTTATTGAATATATTAAATTTTTCCAAGCATTATCTGTATTTATTATTTTTATTAAAGTGGAACAGTTTGTCCTCTTCATTTGATTTAGCAAAGTATTGAAAGTGTTCACTAGGTCTAGAGAGTCATAGAATCATAGAACAGTTTCGGTTGGAAAGGACCTTCAAAGGTCATCCAGTCCAACCCCCCTGCAGTGGGTAGGGACATCTTCAGCTATATCAGGTTGCCCAGAACCACATCCAGCCTGGCCTTGAATGTCTCCAGGAATGGCACAGCTACCACCTCTCTGGGCAACCTGTGCCAGTATTTTACCACCCTCATTGTAAATAATTTTTTCCTCACATCCAGCCTGAAAATGGAGTCTGTATTCCATTAAGGATGGTATGAAATCTTTCGGAGACAGCTGCTTTCACTTAGGGCAAAGTAGACTAAATGTTAGTGCATTTCGCTTTCCCTGTAGTTAGCGTAAATGTACATGCTCAAACGTTTAGTTTCATGTGCTCCTGGAGTCAGAGTACCTTAGATCTCATTTTGCTGAGTGATTTGCCATTAGATAGGTTTCCTTAGTGTGTATTGCATCTCCTGTTTGAGAGATCAGCTTGTGTCACTGAACTGTGATTGAAAGCCCACATGGTGCAAAATTGACATGGATGTTACACGTTTATTTTTGTACTCTAGTAATGTTAGTCTCTTTTGTTTAAGGCTCTGAAACAACGAGAAGCAATCTTGAAGTTAATTTTAAAGAATGAAAATGTAAGTAGACTTCTTTTAAAGGTTAATTTGCTTTATTACTGTTGTCATGAGTGCAAGCTCTTTTGTTTTGTATTTGTCTATTTTGGGGTAAGTTAGATATTATCTACCAGAGTATTTCTGATTAGAACCTAAGAATCTTTTGTGGTTTTAGGTGTGGTGTTAAATTAAAGCAGTAAGGTTGCCTACTGGTTTAAGCATTAGCCTCAGTCAGAGAAGCAGTCTTTGATTTTGTGGTGATTAACCAGCTCTGACGAAGAAGACTTAATTTCTCTGTCTCCATTTTCTTGTTACATAGCAAGATAATATGTTTATCTCTCAAAGATGCTGAAGGTGAATCATGTTTGGAGATCACTTTGATCAGTGAAAGAAATTTCAAGATGTCATGAGGCAGGGAGAAGAGATACTGAATATTTCTAACTATGTTTAACTATTGGCTAAAGTCAAGAAAGGAGGATTGATATTTTTTGACAGTGCTGCTTTTTTCACTTTGATCCATACTTCATATTTCCTTTGGAGGAAAACTACTATGGTTGTTGTTACTAATATTGTATGGTGTTCATGTTGCCATCTATATTCCAAGATGAGAGGAAGGGGTAGGTGTGAGCGCATCTGGTGGTGTCTGTTGGCAGGATATGGGACCTGCGTTACTGGAGGTTACCGCTGAATTTAGTCTGCAGCAGTAACTGTCTTGAAGTTAATGTTGTGAAGTGTCTCTTGGCTGAGCTATATCCTAATAAATATCATTTGTTAGTAAAACCAACTTACATTTTTTGAGAAGCCTAAAAATTACAGCGCATCATTGCAGATGGCTGAGATACCGCTGGAGAGGTAATTTTGCAAGTAGTCATTTTGGATTGTTTGTATAGGATTAGAATGTGGTTGGGTTTTGTGCAAAATACTAGACATAGATGTGAAAACAGAAGAACAGAACTGCTATGAAATGCTAAAGGAATTGTGGAGGAAGAGCTGACCTATTTGCAGAAAATCGCAAACAAACTAAAAGAGTCCCTTGCAGACGGTGATTTCAGACTCAAATTTCTATTCAAGAACCGTTAGGGAGGTATGCCAAATAGTAGACCTTTATACAGGCTCCCTGACTACCTGCAGCCACCCAGCCCTCGCACACAAGAGGACTCTGTGGCTCCTTTGCCTTGGCAGCTGGGCCTGGGAGCTGAGCACCTTGGCCTTAAGGCCTTCAACAAAACCCTAAATTGGTTCCTGAATATGGACCTGAAAGAATGCAAGGTATGTCAAGCACCTGGCAGTGAATTATAGCCACACAAATACATTTTTCAGGGGAGGGGAAAAAAAACCCATCGGCCTATATTGGTTATCCCATATGAGGAAGAATTGGATCTCTCAAGCCCAGCTTATTTTAAGTGAGGATGACAAACTTCCTGGCAGTCCTTCACACGACAGGTGTAGTCATGCCCTCCATTTTCCTTGACTGTCTTAAAGTCCTGTTTGTTCTTTCTCTCTCAAAGGGAAACACTTGTTAATGCCTGCTACACAACATGCCCATTTTCTATTTATTCTTAGCCAGCTGTGCTGTTCTATTCAATTCTTGAGGGCCTTCAGCCCCACACTGAGCAAGTACATTGCAAATCTGCAGGTAACTGTTACTGGCTTAAGTATTTGTGTGCAGTATCATGCTTTAAAGCAAAGCACTTCAAGACAGCTGGGCCATAATGTCCATAGGAGGCACGTTGGTGTAAGCCAGCTATTGCTTTTACCTTTATTTCCATGCCTGGGGAGCCAGATGTCTCACTCAAGGCCCAAACCAAAGCACTGCATGCTGAGTCCTAGGTCAGGGAGCTGGGGTTCAAGTACAAGCTCAGGATCTGAGCCAAGAGGACAGTATCACTGTAACCCTTGTTCTTTAAGAAAAGCAGGAGGAGCGGTGGAGGATTGGAAGGGTGCTCAGTGAATGTTAGCATGTTCTTGGGTTATCCTGGGGAGTGCAGGGGTTGAAGGGGTAGCTAGAGGTAGCAAAGATTATACCTGGGGCTTTGCCTTCATCACCACTGAATAGTTTCGCTCTTAGAAGAAGGCATCCCATAATTTCAGCCTTTTACTAGACCGGTTTGGCTTTAATTGTTTGAAAAGGAAATACTGATGCATTGGAAAATGTGCTGGAAGAGGCTGTTATTGGAGATTCTGTAAACAGACTGAATAAATATAGGGTCTTGGCTTAAAAGAGATTGGTCTGATCCAGTGCATGGGGTTAGACACATTATTTTGCCTCCAGTTTCCCCATTTCGTGGTTGTATAAAGTAGCAGTTGTTCAGTAAGTCAGCAGACAACTGAATTGCTGAGATAGTGAACAGCTGCTTTTGAAGCTCTTTTTCTGCACTAAAAGGTGGCAGCAAGAAAACATAAATGGGACAGGAACTTTGTCCAGCCTTCTTGTATTACTGGTCAAAAGATATGCGTATGAAAACAAACTGTAGTCTTTCAAATAATGTAAAAAATGGGCTGGGGCTGTGAAAGGAGACCCATAGGATAGTGTTCATTGTCTATAGATACAAGGATGTGTGCCTGGTCTGATTGAGCCCTTTACCAAAAAAGGGAGTGTTATTGCAGGAAACTGGAAACTTGTGTGGGCATTTGTGAAAATGGGTCATTATTCCTGTGATCCAGTTTTTGCCATCTAGTGGGCTTCCAAAACAATACAAGAGCTTTGTCAGTAACAGAATATACCATTATGATGCTTCACTTTCAGTTGCCTGTTTTTGTTAATCAATCAGCTGCAGAGTTTCATGAGATGAAGCATCAGTTTCATTTAGTGAAATGAACTACTTGGAGGATTCAGAGCAGAAGTTAACAAAATAATTTTCTTTTAGCTTTCAAAGTCAAGACTGGAGGTGACTTTCTTGTCCTTGGAACATCTTAAATGACTTCAGAGTTTTCATGCTCTGACCTTCTGTTTTTTTTGACAGGTGGACAGGCATGTAGATCTTCTGGAAGTTGCTAAAGAGACCGATGGCTTCTCCGGAAGTGATCTGAAAGAAATGTGCCGGGATGCAGCACTCCTCTGTGTCAGGGAATATGTTAATTCTGCCTGTGAAGAAGAGACGTATGTGTCTTTTTTCTGCCTGTTATGGTAGCCTGGCAGCAGCTATGAATGCTCTTGCCCAATTATCAGTTTGTATTTTCTGGTTTGAATTGCAAATTTAGAGAGGTTTGAAAAACTTGGCTATGATTCACAGAAAGCAGGAGGTTCTCTCTTGCTTGACAGATTGCCACTATACAGCAAAAAAACCCAACACCCCAAGTAAGTAACCTTTATTCATTTTGACAATGAAAATAAGAGTGTTTGCCCTGAAGTGTCAAGCCTGAGGTAGCATGAGCCAGCAAGTGATACTATTGTGCTATATTACCAGGCTTAAATGCTGGTAATGCTCTTGCATGTGCGTAAGTCCACTTAATTGTCTCCCATACCTGGAGGTAATACATGCATGGACAGGGGCATATTTTCAGTGTAATACTGGCTCCATGTCAGAGCTGCCATTTTCAGTGATTACTTCTCATTGTTTGAATAGCTGTTACATAGCACCTGAATCATTATCTTGCTTTTTTGCTTTCTCTCTTTCTTTTAAAGCCATGATGAAGATGAAATCCGGCCTGTGCAGCAGCAGGATCTCCACAGGGCAATTGAGAAGATGAGAAAATCCAAGGATGCCACACTGCAGAATGTTTTAATGCACGTTAGTTTAGATTAAGACAAAAGAGTGTGTTTGCGGTTTCTGATATGATTTAGGTTGACTTCTGTAATTGGTTAGCAAAAATAATGTCAGGGGTGGGAGCAGGGATGTTCCTTGAATAAGGGAGTTCCGTTTCTGGAATTGTTTTTATACAACAAATTCTAAGTTATTGAAATTTTGTCATGCACAACTAGAAGTGTAACAATATATCATAAGTGGAACAATTATAGTCCAGACCAAGAGCAACTTGCCCGTGTCTTGTCCCATAATTGATACACTGTATAGCCTTAAAGCAGGTTCTGATGTGGTGCATGGGTTTGGCAGGTCACCAGCATGGAGGGCAAACAGTCTATTACCAGTTTGTGTATATATGTACGAGCGTGTGTGTATGTATTAAATGTATATATCCACACCTTTTTTTTTATACAGACATAATCTGTAGATAACTTGAGTATGGGAGATCTTTTCTACTTACTGAATCAAATCAAATCAGAAGATGTATAGATTAAAGATTTGTCGATACTCAGTGCACATTTACTTCTTCCTTTTAGCAGCAAGTATGAAGATAGGAATTCTGCTTCTAGAATAACTTGCAGGCAAAATTTGAAATGTTACTGATTTTCCTTGCACATGACCACTTGAAATCTGGTGCCATTCAGTAAAGATAGTAAACTTCTGTAAAAATGTTTGAATACTTTTCATTTTATATGAATTCTGCTTTCTGAGGCTTTTTAAATGAATGCTGGTTTTATTTTTCCCTTGATGTGAGTAATTAGAGTAGAATCTTAACTGGTCTTTCATAAAGTCCGAGATATTATAAGCTCTCTGAAACTGTGGCTTTCTGATCTATTATGCATTGTAACCAGGACTTGCTGCTATTTTAATCTCCTCTGGAAGCCCCGCTGCTGCGCTGTGGCGTTGTACCATGAAGTGTCATACATGTAGCTCTGAGGCATGGGGGGGACATTTTGTGATGTTTTGCTCTGTCACATGCTCTGATTCACAAAACTCAAGAGAATGGGTTTTAGGTTTATAAATGTGATTTAGCAATGTTCTGCTGTACTTGCTGGTAACAGTTTTAGTAAATTCATGTAATGTTATGTAAAGGCAAAGAGCTGGAAATGTAAGTGGCAAAAGTGTTTTGCTACAGTTATTGTCACTAGGTTTTCAGTAACTTGATTTTTCTTCTAATATGATGAATTGTGCACTAATTCAACACAGATATATAATCAGAATTGTTCAAACCCCCAGGCTAGCAGCAGAGCTCTGCTAGCTGTTTGAGGGAAGGTAAGCATTGAAAGCATGGTAAGGACGTAACAAAAAACGCACTGCAAAGTAAAATAAAAACAGCTGGAGCCAGCCATGGTGCAGTATCAGGTGCTGATGACAATTTACATTAAGCACAGCTGTCTCACTGTGTCTGGCACACTGGTTGTGTAAGGCACCAGGTGCAGTAGGTCCCAGTGTGACCCAATTTAGTCTCGTTGGGTACAGAACATGGTGGGGTTAAAAATAATTTGGTAATTGCTTTGTTTTTTTTATATGGGGAGAGAAGTCTTTGGTAAATGCATATTGCTTTAATACAAGGACGTAGGAAACTGGGCACACAGAAATACTGGGCTATGGAAATCTAAGAGATGTGAGCTATGGAATGCTAACCCCACAACTCAGTTAGTGACAGGGTATAAGGCAGTGATGTGAGCCAGTGCTAGCTCTGTAAGAGACCGAGTTCAAGAACCAGCCTTAAAATTAAATGGGCAAATAGTGTTACTGGAAGCTGGTTTCTCAAAAGGTTTAAATTACGCATGTGTCAGATGAAGTTCTCCAGCTACTCAGTCAGTTCTCAGTGCCTGCTCTGGCTCTGGACTACCCCCAGCCCTCTCAGTAGTTGTTACACCTGAGAAATTCCAAGCTGGTGCAATAATGCAATTGGTCCTGTGCCTCCTTCCTTTGTTCCGGGTTCTCCTACTTGGTAAGCACCTAGTGCAGGCAGCTGGAAAATGCTGTCTTAATTGGTTTTAATTGAGTGTAAAGTGTGTCCTCAAGGGAGTTTAAATGTCAAACAGTGCACAAACCCATGAGTGTTTGCAGGTGCTGAGGGCATCCTCTCTCACCAGCTGAGCTTTCATCTCCTTTTGCATGTTTCTCCAAAAACCTGGCTGTTCACATGCTGGCTGGATCTTGCCTTTGCTTTGTGCCTGTAATGCATTGTCACAGGCTGAAGGGGCTGGTCTGAAGAGTCTCAAGGAGTTACTGCAGCTGGAGTGTGAGTTCCACTTTTGCAGGGATTTTTCAGCACTTGCCTACTTTTTCTGTCATTTGGGGGGTCCTTGGCAAAGCACAGACTATTCTATGATTCTTACAGCTTGCTGGAAAGGCTGGGGGAGTGGCATAGTTTATCATGCAGGAGCATGGCCGCTCTAATTCCATGTCTCCAGTGGTGTGGTCCATGTTACTCTCCTTAGAGCAGGGACGTGCCTAACCCCTTTCCTGTGGCTCTAGGGCCAGTTGTCAAACCGAGTGTTGTTTCACAGGTGTGGGCTGAGGCCAGTCCAGCTGCCAGTACTGAGATCTGAGCTGTAATGCAATGTCTTGTGTGAAATAGGTCTATCTTGGGGTTTAAAGGTTGAATCCTCTGCAGGAAGAGGCATAGACATTCTCAGCAGGCAAGTAATTTGTTTATAACCTGTTCATCCATAGCAGTCACCAGTAGACTGTACAGCGCAGACCATACCTAAATTGTCCTTGGGCTGTAAAACAGCTAATCTTGCCTGTTCAATACTAACAGCACAAACACAAACCGTTGGAGTAGTCTTAGGTGAATAAATAATGTTGGTTGTTTGCTCTGTGTTTTTGTTGATCTGTTTTCTGTAACCTTCACCAGTATGTCCATGTTTGCATTCTGTAAATACAGCTTGCTTTTTTTTTTTGAGAGTGGCTTGGGCAAGGGCATCTTTTCCCTGTCTACTGTTTGGAAACCCAGGGATGCATTGGCCAGACAACAGAGGGTGAACCCTGGGGTGCTGCAGGACCGCACTGGTTGAGTGGAGTACTGGGAGCCCAGCAGGGTGAGCAGAGCACAGCCCAAGCTCCTGCAGCCACCATCCAACCCTGCATAGGGGCAGGCACAGGGCAGCGGCAAAGGACCTCCATCCCCATCAAACAGCAGCTGCCAGTGCTTGCAAGATCTCTGTTTGTTTCTCTGCTAGCTGGGAAGCATGGGCAACAGCACCCTCCAGGCCCACAGCCCATTTACAGCAGGTCTATTAGGAAAAGACCAAGAGATGCAGTATCATCCTCTTTTTCTTCAGGGTTTTAGCAGCTAGAAGATGTTTAATTTCTGGTTAAACACCACAGAAATGCAGGGCAATGCCAATTTTTACTCTTGTTAAATGTGACGTCAACAATACATGGCCCAGACAGGGAAAAGGTAAATTACATGAGGTTTCCAAAAGGAAATGGACTCCAGTCAGCTTCTCTGCTGGCTGGTCCAGCCATTACCCTACCCGAGGCACTGAGCATGCAAGGCTGGAATGTGAAAGGGGAGCTCCTGCCACTACAAGCTGGTCACAGCCCCAGACAAACTGCATGGTTATGATTTCCCTTGGAAAAAAAAATCCACAAGGTGAGAGTTAGTATATAAATATTTATTTGTACTAAAAGTGAGTGTTTCGTAGCAGAGTATCAAGTTCAGAATATATTAAATCATGAGAGGCATCACTTGATGCAAATTCCAGTCTCATGCCTTTAATAAATACACTATAAAAAAACTAGTCCACATACTCTATTTGGATCAGAGGTAATCAGTACACTACACTGTTTTAAAAGGATAATACAAGATTTGTGTTTTGCTGTAACCATTTGGATTTATGGGAGGGAGGTTTAACCATTTATTATATGAGGAGTGGCAACAGCACTATGTCACTACTTAAAAATGACAAATATTGCAAACATAAATGGGAGTATTGCTTTTGTCTTCCAGGTCCCTGCCAGAGGGCCTGAGCGTAAAAGGCACTGGTGCTAGTGTGTGCTTTCAGCTACCAACATGAGCGTTGCAGCATTTTTCTTGAGGTATAATACAGCTTTGGGCCTTTGCTTTACTTTAAAAAATTATAAAAAAATAACTCCCAAAGAGCTGACATATGATAGAAGGCTTTTTGCAAAAGTATTCCCAATTACATACATAGTCTTGGACACTGTACTATGGCCACAGCAAAACAGGTTTCAGCTTGCGATGTAGCTCACTATTCTAAGTTACAAGCAGAAGCGTCATTGCTCTTACTGAGTGTAGCTCCATTTGTAATTAAAACTGAAGTACAAGAAGAGGAGAGCGCTATTTCCGTGTCTCTTGAAACACATCTGACTGGTCCTGGGGCATCTACTAAGAAAAGAGGAGTACAGAAAGTACCAATTCAGTTTGCTGCAGTGACCGACAAGTGCATGGCTGTCTTCCCCTCAATAAAAACCTCACACCTCAGTATGGTGGCCGGGAAGGCAGCACGCTCCTTGCAGCCAGCACAGCAGGGCTGCAGGATCAGCCCTTTCCCTGGGGAAGCCAGCACAGGCAGGACACTGAGGCACAGGCAGGGGCAGGAGGTGGCTGAGGGGCTCCCAGCCATGTGAGGCACTGTGCTCAAACCTCAGCCACCACAGAGACATGCACCAGTCCCAGCAGCATGTGCCTGCAGTGAGACACGAGCGGGGCCAGGTAAAGCTCCGGTGCTGAGTCACACTGCTCTGCCCTGTCAGAGTTCACTGCAAGTGCTGCTGGTCAGTAAAAAAGCCAACACAGCAGCAAAATCAGTGTCAGAGAGGGTGGGTTGGGAAAGGTTAGGGCTGCTGTAACTTTCCACCAGCCATAGCTGGGTGCAGCACCAGCCACTGGCTACCTCTCTATGTGAGGGATGATGGCTCAGCACCACCACCCCTCACACAGCAGCACCCCATGCAGGTGGGGGTGGACGGCAAGGACTTCTCTCCATCCTCTGCCATCTCCCACCAGAGCCAGCATCCGCAGCACAAAGGTACTAAGTAAAATCAGGCCACCTGTACCCATGTGGGATTACGGGTACAGATGAAGGCAAGTGCTTGAGCCATCTCTCCACTGTTTTAACAGGTACAGCCTCTTGGACCCACCTCACACTGTGATTTTGCTGGTTTGCCTTTAATTTGCCTTTCAGATGGGAGAAGCACAGGCAAAGGAAAGGGGGGGTGCAGTCCTGCTAGGTGTGAGGATACCCATGAAAACATGTAAAAACCATCCCCAGTTTTTGACTGCTGCCCTGAACTTTCTCAAAGATCTCCCGGTCTTTACGGTGCCTCCCAGGAACATCTTCCCGCATCCATGGGTCCCCTAGGCTGTGAGCACAGGGATTGCCATGGAAAGCTGAACTCAGAGCATCAGTAATGTTCAGCCCAGGTTTTGTTTTGACCAGAGAGTTCAAGCAGGAGGAAGCAAAGAAGGACAGTGAACAGCTGTCTCAGCCACAAGGAACGAGTGATGGTCAAGGCTGATTTTAAAAACTACTTTTTAAAAAAGGGCATTAAAAAAACCCCACTGTTTGTTGGCAAAAATGGTCTATGGGACAACCTGGAGGACAGCGAAGGGATCCAAGCACTGTGTGCCTGTTTCCCTCTTCCAGCCTGGCAGCAGCAGCTGCTCCTCACTTCAGTGGCTCCTTCCTCTTCAGGCAGAGCTGGCTGAGGGGTAGAGAAAAGGCACTTCTTTATTTCTGCTCCACACAGGGGACAAGGCGTGGTTTTCATCCTGGTGCTGAGGTCCCAGCTCTGCATCGGGGGCTGGTGCCCGGCTCTGGTGGCATTGGAACAATCCAGCTGGCCCACACAGGGGCTGTGCTGGGCTTCCGGCAGCTGCACTCAGCTGGGAATGCAGGGCTTGCTGCCCTTCCCTTCCAGTTCCATGGGGATACTCCTGGCAGCTTCCAGGGGAGAAGGACCAGCCTCAAATTATTTCTGATTAGTAAAAACCACTCTGACCTAGGTAGAAAAATCCTACAGGCAGAGCATTGGAAATGCCAAGTAACTGATCTGTGTCATAGGGAATCAATCAATCATTGCTCACTCTTAATACAAGCATTTCTAGGGAGGAGGAGTGTTAATTCTGTTTTCCCAGTGACTGGTAGTACTCAGTTAGGACTTTCCAAGCTTTGGGGGCCATGAAGCCGTCTGGTGGGTTTTCACCTTCACGAGCAAGCTTCCTCATGCGTGTCCCCGAGATGAAGTCAAAATCGTTGTGCCTGCACAGAACAAAGGTGAGAAATCAGCACAGCGCAACTCTTCTGCCATGCAGGTGCATGGTTGGAAACCTCCTGGCACTGGTGGAGACCATCTGCGGCTTCATGCCTGGGTTTACGATCTGCTTTTGCCTTTCCCCTTGCAG